GCCATCCCCTCAAGTCCTTCCTGGTGCTGCCCTTCCAGAGGATCACCCGCCTCAAGATGCTGCTGGAGGTGCGCAGGGTGCATGGCGCAGGGGTGCATGAGGTGGCCCCTAGCATCCCTCTCTGGAGACGGGGTGCCCCCCACCCCAGCCCGTCCCCCTGACCGTCCCCCCCACCCTGCAGAGCATCCTGAAGCTGGCCCCGGCGGGCTCCGAGCTGGGGGAGTCCATCGGCGCTGCCCTGAAGGCCGTGGGGGAGGTAAGCGTGCCCCCCGCGGGCCTGATTCTGCTCTGAGGCATGAGGTGGTGGGCAGGGAGGAGCTGAGCTAATTACACCGCCAAAGGAGCAGGGGCCAGAGATGCTCCCTGAATGAGATCAGCCACCAGGACAGTCTCTTGGTCTGTGGGTGCAGGTGACAGTGCCACGCCCAATGCGGCGCGACGCCCAGCCGGTGCCTGAGATCGGCTCCGGGTCCTTGGCATCGCCCCTTCTTGAGCTAGGCTGGTGGCTGCTGCAGGCAGGGGCAGACAGGAGGTCTCTCCGCTGCAGGGAGCTCCGTGTCCTGGATGCCCGCTGGGGAGGGGAGGCTGGGGCGCGGGGCCTGGTGGGGCTGGGAGGGACCCGCGGCTCTCCCGGCCTCTCTCCAGATCGTGTCCGAGTGCAACGAGAGCGTGCGGCGCATGAAGCAGACGGAGGAGCTGGTGCTGCTGGAGAAGCAAGTGGAGTTCCTGAAGACCAAGGTGAGGGCCACGGGCAGGGGTGGCAGGGGGCACAGGCCAGGGGGAGAGGGAAGCCCAGTGGGTGCTGCAGGGTCATGCCATGCCATGCCATGCCTTGACATGTGCGCTGAGATGGAGTGATGTTTGCTGCAAGCAACAGGCCTGCTAGGGGCCATGGGTGTATGGCAGGGCCCGACCCTGTCCCCGGAGCGGTGCGGGGTGGTCGTCCCGCACCAGGTGCTGTACGTTGCGCCGTCTCTGTGTCCAGGCCATCCCACTCATCAGCCGGGGGCGCTGGCTGGTCCGGGCCGGGGAGCTGACCCACGTCCTCCCGCAGGACGGCGTTGCGGGGTCTCGCCCCCGCCTGAGCAGGAAGCCCATCCACCTGCACCTCTTCAGCGACCTGCTGCTGCTGTCCCGGCGGAGGGAGTGAGTCTGGCTGCGTGCCCGTCTCCCGT